ACTGAATTGGCAAACGCTGCTCCTAGAAGAAGCCTGGATAAACTAAAAACCCTAATGAGTCTAAAAGGTATAGCAAATATTAAGAAAAAACTAGGCGTGGGTGAGACCATCAAATTAATATCAAAGTCATCTGGGAGAGTGTTTTGCACAGTTATTTCTGCTCTCTAACAAGTTCTTGTGAATACACAGGCAGTGCTGACCCAGGTACCACCTGTCTTGCAGGACTGAATGGAAGGTTTGACTTTGACCCAAGTCAGGAAAATGCTGGCACCTGATCAGCACTGGCACTGCCAGGAATTGTGCCATCCAGAAATATCTGGCTGTGAGGGAGTTATGGAGATAGGCTTTTATTTGGCTTTAGCTGCCTTCCTATTGATTACTAGAAACCCTTTATTCTGCTAAAAAAAGGGACTTATCTCCCCTAGGAAAAAAGCCCAAATACACCAAAACTGAACACAATTTTGTAGTTGGTATCAATAAAGATTATCTAGTGGGGTCCCTTCTAAATGTGAGAGTGACTGGGTGATGAACTTCAGCAGGTAGAAATCTGCTCACTCTAAATCTAGGGCAATTACATACAGTTCTAGAACATAATTAATGTCTATTGATTAGTAAGTGCTAGAATCATGACAATTTATTCAATCAATCCATTTAGAAGAAAAAAAAAATTAGACCCTGAAGTTGAACAAAGGGCCAACTAATTCTTATGTGTGAATCTATTCCAGAACAAGAAGCACAGAATTCCCCATAAAGTATCCTGCACTTTTCACTCGTTTTCTCTCATGTAAGACCCAAAAATCTGCCTACAGACCTTACAGTAAGGCTCTCCAGGTTAGAGGAGTCAGCATAAGTAACTATTTTAAAAATTCACCTCATCCTATTACCAATTAGGACAGGGACATGCAAAAGAGAGGAAAAGGGAGTGTGTGTGTAGAGGGAAGCAACACACTGACTTCCATACGAACCATTTATTGAATAAATACATGCATCATAATGTAGAATTACATGAGCAAAAAAGGCAATCTGTACAAAATGGATTACCCTTTGTTCTCATTTCAACTCTCACCATTTGCTGCAGCTCTGATAAAGGATTCAAGACAGAAAATTAAAACTTGTTTAGTCCAACTCCAAGTGATATGCATGCTGATTTGAGTCCGGGTTACACCACTGCTAGAGTTCAGAAAGCTGGTTTTCCTGACAGTGAAGCAGAGTAATTCTAAAAACAGTTTCAATAGTAGAGAACATGTGTTGGTATATACAGGTAACAAAGCTTATTTTTAACCATTTCTCAAATATCTTCATATGTTCATATTTTAAGGCACAGGATAAACAAGAACTACATGAAAAGCTATCAGTTGATATTGAATAAATGACTTGAGAATGAGGTGCAATTTTTGCCGAGAGGCAAAATTGTCCTTCCTACTTCCATATAAACAGAACAATCGGAATTTGGTGAGTTTAATACAGAAGATCCATCTACTATCAAACGAATCAATCTCATCTAGGCAGTCATAGGCTGATCCAAATTCACTCAGGAGAACGTTTCTACAGAGTCTGGCATCCAGCACTGATTACAAACAACAGAAATTATTGTTGCTGAACTGCAATGACAATTCAGTCTCTTCATTTCAGATTCCTGAATGGAAAGTGGGCTCTCTATGAACCTATCCCTAGTTTTAGGTAGTGAGCTATTTTGGAAAGTCCTGTCAAACCTATTTTGAAAACTTAATTCAGTTACTCACTTTGTGCTATCATCTCACATTTACCCAAACATGGCATTATTTTCCATCTTGAAACTTTAAAAGACAGAATGTCCACTTTTTTATTGTTGAAGTGCAGAGTTTTCTGTCCCCATACTTTACTTAAGACTTGAAACACCAAATTAATTTAACAGCCTAGTTGTTGGCTACAGATCAAACTCTGTGGAGTGATGGCCAGGATGCACAGCAAAAGTCCTTCCACCTTGGACTGAACCAAGGCAAAAGACAATTATGCTAAGCTGCTGCTCTTAGACCTCCTTTATTTAGAACAGCTTTCAGGTTCTGCATTTTCATGGCATTAAAAACATTCTCTGTCTTTCCATTCTTAACAGTTTTTTAATGGAGAACTAGCAAAGAAAATATGCATTTCATAATATATTTTATATGAATAGGTGAGTGAATACATTGAGATACTCATACATTCCAATATAGAGTGAAGCCTTCAAATGGAAATGTTTTCTTACAAGGAATCTCTCCCTATTGCCCAGTCCAGTAACAGCACTAACAGTACAATTTACAGTGCAAGATTTTTTGATAAAATTGTCTTGTATAAAGCGTGGCAATGAGAAGGCCATCACTGTATAGAGGTGTATGGGCGTGTGTCACACACATCCATGACAAATGTTCATGTTAAACTGAATTCAGACATATACTGAAATTCTTAGACTTGAAAAAACTAAAAAGCTACATCTATGGTAGGCACTTTGGTACATCTAGTAATGTAGGCATATTCTACACCTAGAGTTAAGGTTCTGTCAGTAGTCTTACGATAAAGCTAATTTCAGGAGTTCATTATTCTGCTTTAAAATTCTTTCTTGGCTGAGAGATCATCCTAGAATCTTAGCTAAATAATATACTTTGTCTAATTGCATACTTATCCAAGGATGAGGGCCTTGGCTCTAAAAGAGCCAAATTGTTCTCTTGGATTCTTAATGCACATTTTTCTAACAGTCAAGAAAACTTGCCAGAAAAAGAAAAATCAGTTCTGAATACAAAAAAAATTCCCCATAATGCATAAAATTAGAGTTATGAGCTCAGCTGTTTGGGCTGACACTCCCCCTTCAGCTCCCAGCTCCCTGCTTGGATCAGTTTGTGCTAATGGTGTCACTGCTGCAGCCTGGCCCAGCCCATGGCAGTGCTCCAGGAGAGTGCCAGGATTTCTCAGGAAACCCGTGTGGAACACTCGAGTGCATTTTGTTCGTGCACCAAACACACTGAGGAGCAATGAAGCAACTGCAAAAGTGAGTTTCATCTCAGTTTCCCATTTTCTTGCCTCTTGGTGTTCACTTGAGTATTACAGAAGTTACCACATAACATACTATTTTAGCATAGTATTGTATAAGAAAAGGAACATATGTCTTGTACATATGCCTACTGTAGGAACTGACATTGCAAGCTGATTTGTCTACCTCAAAAATCAGTGAAACATTGTGGTAAGGACAGCTCAAAGTGGTTAAAGATTTTCTTTATAATACAGAAAAATCCATGTCCTCAAACCTTCAGAAGGTCACATGTCTAGTACTCTAGAGTACAGGAATAAATAACAAAATCCAAGTGAACCTGTATAATAAAACCGTACTCTTTGTTATGTTTACTCCACTAAATGAAAACTCAGATTTAGAAACTGTGATTTGTGGACCTCATCCTCTATTTATACAGTATTTATAGAATTCTCATTTTTATTTATAATATTCTATAGAATGATTTTTCAATAATACATTTATATATAAATATTAAAATGTTTATGTTTTGTACATTTTAAGCCAGCCACACCGGGCCAGAAACACAATAAAGTAAAAATGTTTTTCTGCAGTTTGTTTTTGCAGAGTATCACAAAATGATTAAGACCATTGTGCTGCAAAGACAAAAGAGATTCATCTGAAGAAATTAACATGCATTTAGAAGAAAATAACTATATCCTTTATCTGATTTTCTTCTGAATTCAAGCCAGCATGAAAGAATTATAAAAAAATAGTATATATTTACATGGTACAGTATACCTTGGTGAGATATAAAACAAGGCAGGAAAACAGCAGAACATATTCTTTTCACTTTCTAATAGGTACAGCCATCAAAAAGGTCAATTTAAACACAAAAGGTTACTTTACTGTACTATTGCACATTACAGTAACTCACAGAACTGTTTAGCAAAATAAAATACAAAGTTTAATGATGAGAAAGGCTATGTCTACATAAAATGACCAAGTGTTATAAAATTATTGGGGATGTGTCTAAGAACTAAATCAGTAAAACTATAAAAATAATATTGGTACATCTGTGAAATCAATGCGTTAAAAATGTATAAAGGTTGGCAAAATTATGCTTGAGGAATTCCCGGTATCCATGGGCCTAACTTGCACCGTGTGGCCTTGTACCATCTTCTGTTAAATCATACCTGAAAATGGAAAAAAAAA